AGACATGAAGGAAAGCGTGGGAGAGAGAGGCCGATCCAGCCCAGGGATGTCCCTGCTGGGGCCCAGCCAGCTCTGGGATGTGGAGGGTTCACAGTGGGGAGAGCCCCAGAGGAGGCTGCAGGGGCCAGGGAGGGCTGTCGGGGTGGGGGTGGGTCTAGCCTGGGAAAGACAGGGGGAGGCATGCACCAGGGGGCTGGCCCCTCTCCCAGCCTCCTCCCCAGTTCCAGGTTTCTGGGCCATGGTGATGGGGATCCCAGGAGCCTCTTCGCTCAGGTGCTCCCACCTGCCCACCCCAACCTGGGGCTCCCACTTAGGGCATTCTCCGCTCTGAGAGGTGAGGTGGGGACAGGGGACGCATATTTATTGGGAGCCGCTGGGGCCCTGGGGTCGTGACCGACTCCCACCCCCTGGGCTGTCCAGGCCAGCTCCCCGCAGCACAGAGGGTAATGGAGAGCCTGCCCGGATGCCGGAGGCAGGGGCGTCGGAAACATGACTTTCAGTGCGGGTTCCAAGCCCGGAGAACCGGGCCCCGGAGTCCCGCGGCCTCTCTGACGTCACGGAGGTCCCCGGGAGGACCACGAGGACAGGGATGGCGGCGCAGCGGGTACAGCCCAGGCCTCGGCGGCCGCGGACTTCTCACTTTCGTGGTGAGCTTGGCTGCGGCGGTGCTGCAGCGCCCTCTGCTGGCCAGCGGCGGAGCGGCGGCGCCTGTTCCGGAGCCTCTGTCCGGGGCGGGGCAGGGGGAGGGGACCTGCGCTGCTCCGCAAGATTGCAGACCTATCTGGGGTCCCAGGGGTCCCCAGCAGTCGGCACACATTGGCCGTCATCCGAGCTGGGAAAACTAAAGCCAAAAAAAGGGGACTGGTTGGCTCCAAAGGGCGCTGGGGCCAGGGTTTGGACTATGGAGCTGTCCAAGTCCCAGTGGTGCAGGGGGAGGAGGAGGGCTGGGACCCCCTAATCACTCTCCCCAGCCACTGTCCCCACCAACCACCCCAAATCCCAGTGGTGGTGTGTGGAGGGGTACTGAGACCCGCTAATCACCTGAACCCCAAATAAACCTTCACAAAGGCAATTGCACAAACACAGTTTCTAGAGGGTCTCACACCCCTCACCTCTGCCTCCCACCCAGGCTGCAAACCCCACCGTCCACTCCACTTCTAAGACCCCCTGTCTCCCCACCAACCCCTCCGCCCTCTTCTCCCCATTCCACTTCCCAGCCTCGGGAGAATACCAGTTCTTCCCTCGATCCAGCACACACCAAACAATTTCCCACTTGAACCTTTGGCTTCTATCTTATTTTGCCCCAGGAAATGAAAACTTTGTTTTCTTTTTTTTTTTTAATGAACTTTATTGGATTTTCTTTTTAATTACAAACCATAGTACTACATGTTCCTTTGTAACAGCTCAAACCAACCGGAGGTATGGAAACAAGAAGGGGGCACTCTCCCCTCTCCCTGCCCGGCTGGCGCCCGCCGCCGCTAACACCTACTGATTGCGATCTCCTGGCTTTGCACCCGTTGACCCCACTGAGAAGTACGGAGAGCTGCACGGAGCCCGGGCTGCCGCTGCAAACAAGGCAGCAGCCGCGGTGTCCCGGTGCCCTCATGGGGCTCGATCTAGCGGGGGAAGGGAGGGGAAGGGTCGTTCAGATAGGGAAGAATGGGGGTGGGTGCGGAGGGGAGACGACTGGACCAGGCTGAGGCGGCTTTGCGGGAGGAGGGCTCGCTGAGGAGGGACGTGCGAGTGGCGCTCCGATAGAGGGCGCTGTGGGCCACCAGAAGGCGCCTGGACGTGACTAAGCGCATCAGACAGGCAGGCCTGGATCTGATGGTGTTGTCCAAGGTCCACCGCACCCCCCACCCCACCTCCGCTCTCCGCCGGGGGCGGGGCAGTGTGGCTGCAGCGGGACAAATCAGATAGGTGATAGATAGATAATAGATGATGGATGATTGATAGATGATAGATAGATGGGTGAAAGGTGATAAATGATAGATTTCTTCTTGTAAATTGAAAATGGTCTCAGACCACACTCACTGCTTTGCTCCTGGTCCTTACCCTTCCAGGTTAGACCGTGCAGCTCCAACTCCAAAGGGGTCGCAGCTCACACTCTGGGCCACAGCCCTGTTTGCCGATGGGTTTTTTTTGTTTTTTTTTTTTTTTAGATTTATTTTATTTATTTGAAAGCTACAGAGAGAGGCAGAGACAGAGAGAGGTCTTCCATCTGCTGGTTCACTCCCCAGATGGCTGCAACGGCCAGAGCTGTGCTGATCCGAAGCCAGGAGCCAGAAACTTCCTCTGGGTCTCCCACGCAGGTGCAGGGCCCCACATACTTGGGCCATCTGCTGCTGCTTTCCCAGGCCGCAGCAGAGAGCTGCATCGGAAGAGGAGCAGCCGGGACTAGAACCTGCGCCCATGTGGGATGCTGGCGCCTCAGGCCAGGGCTTTAACCTGCTGCGCCAAAGCGCCAGCCCCAACCGATCAGTCTTTTAATTTTTCCAATCCAGAGGGTAAAAGAAATACCTCCTGGATCCAGCACTGTGGCACAGCAGATTAAGCCGCCGCCTGCGATGCCAGCAATTTATATGAGTGCTAGTTCATGTCCCGGCTGCTCCACTTCTGATCCAGCTCTGTGCTATGGCCTGGGAAAGCAGCAGAACAGGGCCCAAGGGCTTGGGCCCCTGCCACCCATGTGGGAGGTTGGGATGAAGCTCCTGACCCCTGGCCTCAGCCTGGCCCAGCCCCAGCCATTGCAACCATCTGAGGAGTGAACCAGCAGAGGGACGCTCGCTCTCTCTCCCTCTCTCTCTCTGTAACTCTGCCATTCAAATAAATAAATAAATCTTTTAAAAAATCCCAACAATTTGAGCAACCAAAGTAAAGTATGGATTATAAGGCGAAGTATAAAATGATGCTCTCTGGGGCCACGCAGATTGAACGAGTCAGTCCGGGAAGGAGAAAAGACGAAGATCCCGCTCAGAATTCCAGATGGAGGTTCCCCCGACAGTGGAGGAACAGGACTCCCCAGCCTTCCCTGCGGGCTGCACACATGACCTTGTTCTAAAGAGCATTGAAGGGGAGTCGGTGACAAGGCAGGAGCCCGACCTTCTCCCAGGCGCCCAAGGTCACCGTCAGCCGTCACAGCCATGTTGCTAGCAGGAACCCCGGATGTGCTGGGGTGAAAACGGTGCTGCTCCCGCCTCTGGAAACCCAGGGCCCGGTCGGTGGGAAAAACACCAGGCAGCTTCCCACAGGGCAGCACCGCGACTCAGACTGCCAAGGTCGCCACCGGCCAGGGAAGGCTGCAGCCAGGAGGAGCCTGGGGGGAAACGCTGACTCAGTGGAAGCAAGTGTCCTGGCAGCAGGTAAAAGCTGTGGCTGTCGGGATAACGCGGCCTCCGTCAGTCTCTCTCTCTCACCGCTGGCTCCCCCGCTGCAGCAGGGGAGAGCGGGGCGGAGGGGAGCACGCAGGAACTCGACACCATCTGCTCATTGCTTTCTGCAAGTGTAAACGTGGTCCAAAAACTAACGTCTACACCTCTCCAGGTTGGCGTTGTGCAGGGGCTTAAGCTGTCTCTGTGACACTGGCATCCAGTGTGAGCACCAGTTCGAGTCCCGGCTGCTCCTCTTCCAATCCAGCTCCCTGCTATGACCTGGGAAAGCAGTGGAGGATGGCCCAGTGCTTGGGCCCCTGCACCCATGTGGGAGACCCGGAGGAAGCTCCTGGCTCCTGGCTTCAGACGGGCTCAGCCCTGACTGTTTCAGCCTCTCTCTCTCTCTCTCTCTCTCTCTCTCTCTCTGCCTTTCAAATAAATAAATAGTATCTTTCAAAAAATAACAGAAGTTAAAGCAAAATAAAACTTTAAAGAAATGCACATCTCATTGTCTGTAACTTCTGTCCACCGACGCCTGCCGCAGCTTTCCCAGACATGGTCTTCTGTTACTGTTCTCTACACCCCTGCATATTTTTTACTTTTTTTAGTACTTTTTCTATTTGGTTTGTAGATTTCTTTTAAAGGGAAGGATATTAACTCTCTGTTATACTTGTTGTACATGGTTTTTAATTGATTGTTTACCTTTTCATTTTGTTTCTGGAACCTCAGAAATAATTTTTCCATAACCAAATCTCTCCCCACCCACCCCCACTGCTTGATTTCCTGTCGTATCTAGGAAGAGCCTTCTCACCCCCAAAGGTTATGAAATTGCTCTTCTAAAGTTTCCTCTCATGTCTTTAGTTTCTTCTAGCATATTCCATTTTTTGCCATAAATCTCCCATCCATCTGGGATCTATTTTGCAGGCGCTGTCAGCTGGGAAAGGGGATTTGCTTTACCCCTTCCAGATGCGTCGCTGATGTGGCAACATCGTTTATTAACTAAACTGACATTTCCCCTCGTAGATGCCTGGCTCTGCTTCCGGGAGGCGGTGTCCCCAGCTCTCCCGGCTGTCATCACCGCACAGCCCCGCGGGCCACGCCCACCTGCTGCTGCCAGGCCGCACCGGTCTGGCCCGAGGCCTCGCATCTGGAGTCAGCCCTTTCCCCACCTGGCTGCCCACGGCGTCCGTGCGCTGCGCACGTGGTTGGTGATCTTGGCTGGGTGTCAGGTGCTGGACCAGAGTTCACAGCTGGGGGCGGGGGGAGGAGGGGAGGAAGGAGAACAACCTGTCATTAAGCCTGAGGACAGGCGACTGGAGGGACAATTGGCGCGCGTGGGGGGGGGGGAATCTGTGCCAATGCCGCAAGGCTTCCCAGGGTAGGGGTGAGGGGTGATGCCTGAATGGGGACAGCCAGGGAGGAAGGGAGATTGGTTCTGGCACCGAGAGCCTGCTGTGTGGCGGCCGGCGCGGAGGGAGCCACCTTGGGAGGGGCAGGCGGCGGCGGGCGCGGGGCGCGGGCTCCCTCCTGAGAAGCCGGGCGCTGCGGTGAGTGAGCCCACACGCGCTCCTGCCCCTCCGCATTCCTCCACCTGCTGTCCTGCGCTGGGGGCTTTTCTTCTCCCCCAAATGTTTTTTTTTTTTTTTTTTTTTTTTTTTTTTTTTTTTTTTTGACAGGCAGAGTGGACAGTGAGAGAGAGAGACAGAGAGAAAGGTCTTCCTTTGCCGTTGGTTCACTCTCCAATGGCCGCCGCGGCTGGCGCGCTGCGGCCGGCGCACCGCGCTGATCCGATGGCAGGAGCCAGGAGCCAGGTGCTTTTCCTGGTCTCCCATGGGGTGCAGGGCCCAAGCACCTGGGCCATCCTCCACTGCACTCCCGGGCCACAGCAGAGAGCTGGCCTGGAAGAGGGGCAACCGGGACAGAATCCGGCGCCCCGACCGGGACTAGAACCCGGTGTGCCGGCGCCGCTAGGCGGAGGATTAGCCTAGTGAGCCGCGGCGCCGGCCTCCCCCAAATGTTTTTTAAAAGGACGCTTTGTATTGCTCCATATTTCTGTTCAAATTTATTTTCATTTATTCATTTAAAAAGATTTATTTATTTATCTGAAAGGCAGAGTAACAGAGCGAGAGAGAGAGAGAGAGAGAGAGAGATCTTCCATCTGCTGGTTCACTCCCCAGATGGCTGCAACAGCCAGGGCTGGGTCAGGCTGAACCCAGGAGCCAGAAACTCCATCCGGGTCTCCCACGTGGGTGCAGGGGTCCAAGGACTTGGGCCATCTTCTGCTGCTTTCCCAGGCCATTAGCAGGGAGCTGGATTGGCAGTGGAGCAGCCAGACTTGAACCGGTGCCCATACGGAATGTAGGTGGTGGTTTTATCCTCTAGGCCACAATGCTGGCCCCTCTATTCAAATTCAAAATGTTTATCTTTATTATTAAAAATAAACAAGGGCACTCTCCCTGCCTCACTTAAGGGAGCACTGACTGGGTGCAAGCCTGCTCTCGGGGTGTCAGGCTCTTGGGTTTAAATCCCAGCTCTGGACAGTCCCAGCTGTGGGTCTCTGGGGCAATTGCCTCATCTTGCTAAACCTCATTTGTCCTATCTGTAAAATGTGACAACAATGGGACCTACCTCATCAGACTGTGCACTTGCAGGCAGAGTGCCTGGGGTGCCTTCCAGGCACTGAGACAGGAAAGGGACACCACCTACCTCACATCTTAGAAATCTTCTCCTTCTGGGGCCAGCGCTGTGCCGCTGTGCCGTAGTAGATAAAGCCGCCGCCTTCCGTGCCTGCATCCTTTATGGGCACCAGTTCGAGTCCCGGCTGCCCCATTTCTGATCCAGTCCCTGAACCCATGTGGGAGACCCAGAAGAAATTTGCGGCCAATTGGGAGTGAACCAGCAGATGGAAGACCTTTCTCTCTCTCTCTCTCTCTCTCTCTCTCTCTCTCTCTCTCTCTGCCTCTCCTTCTATGTGTAACTCTTTCAAATAAATAAGTCTTAAAAAAAAAAAAAAAGACAGGAGGGAAGGCCCAGGGAGACCAGTGGAGGGCGCTGTGCTCTCACCCAGCCATGCGGGAGCCCTGAAGCCCACACAGGTTGGGGAGAAGGTGCACTTGGGTGTTGGGGACCTAAACCTGGCACCCAGATCCTCGCAGGGGGAGGGCACAGTCCTGCACGGGGCAAGGAGCACAGAGGAGGCGGACAAGTGGGACAGGATGTGCCAAGTGCGGGTCTGCAGACCTTGAGTTGGGCAGTCAAGGTCAGGAGTGAGCGGCACACCCTGGGGTTCCAAGGCGGGGCTGGGTTTGCATGAAGTGGGTGTGGCTGATGCAAGGGTGAACAGGGGTTTGCAGCTGACGCCTACCGGGAGCCGCCTGGACTGCCCCCCGCCCAGACCCTCTCTCCCTCTTCCCCGCCCCTGGGGCACCCCAAGGGAACAAAGGATAACCACAAATGGCGCGGAGGGAGGAAAGTAGCCAAGGCTTCCTTCGGAACTTCCACGCCCCCCTCCCCACGCCTGCCCCAGCTTCGGGGTCCCGCACTCCTCCTCCTCCTCCTCCAAGCTGAGCCTTGGCTGCCGCCTCTCCAGGGCAAGCGCAGATCGGCGCTGCTCCGGGAAGCCCTTCTGCTGCCCACTCGACGGCTGAATGCGTCTGCTGCTCCCCGCTGATGTCTCCCAGCGGAGCCCGACGGAGCCCAGGGTCTCGGCGTGGGTTCCCGGGAGGGAAGGTGGCGGCGATGCTCCCCGCCGCCGCCAGGTGTCGCCAGCAGCCTGCAGATGGAAGGCGCTGCCAGGCTCTTCTGGGCGCCCGAGGGACAGTCTTCCTGGGCCGGGGCGGGGTGACCGGGGACGCTCGCGGAGGGAATCCTCGGCTTCCGGAGGTGGCCGCCCCCCGGCTCTCTGTGGCCTTCAAGTCCATCGGGGATCCAGAGGATTCCGGCCAGTGTGGCCGCGACTCACGAAACACACCCGAGGGCCGGCAGTGCGGGAGAGCCCAGGTTGCACGAACACCTCCGGTGGAGGCTGTGGTCACCGCCAGGGCCACAGCCCTGCGCGCTCCCGGCACGACCGTGTGGGTGGATGAGCGCACGGATGCGAACCGAACGATGGCCGGCGCGTGCCGGGTGCTGCTCTCCACAACCCTCTGTGTGGGTTCCGTGCCTTTCCCCGCAGGGAAACTGAGGCACAGAGAGGTGAAGGAATTGACCCAAGACACGGTGGCAAATCCAGAATCGGGACCCAGGCGATCTGGCCAGAGCTCAAGCGCGTGACTACGCCTCTGCGTGGCACACATAAAAAAAAATTTTTTTTTTTTAGTGCCTTTATCAAGCGCTTCTTTGCACCAGGCGGGAAGGGCGCAGCACCTTGCAAAAGGGCGAACGCGGCGCGGCGCGCGGCAGGCGCGTGTGGCCGCGCATCCCGGGCCCCCAGCAGACGGCGCGCTGACCCGCTGGCCTCCGCCATACCACACCCGCGCAGGCTCTCCATCGCCCCCTGAGGAGCTGGCGTGGACCACAGCGACGCGGGTCCAAGCCGACAGGTGGCCGAGGCGGGTCGCCGCTGACTTCGTGCCAGGTGTTGGCTCCCCGCCAGCTGCCTAGCGGTTCAGAGGCAGCTCAGGTCCTCTCCACCCCCCACCCTTGCTTCGCACCTCTGAAGATCCTGAAACGGAGGCGGAAGGAGCTGGCTTGCCTCCTTTTTGTTCAGGGTCTCGCGGTTCACAAAGCGCTTCCCGCAGCCGCGTTCTGATGAAAGGCTGCGATAGCAACCCAACGTTCCCCAGCTCACCACCTCCGCACTCCATGAGATGGGCTGGGTGATCTTTTTTTTTTTTTTTTTTTTTAAAGACAGACTTAAATTTCATTTATTTGAAACCCGGAGTTACAGAGAGAGGGGGGAAGACATAGAAAAAAGAGGTCTTCCATCTGCTGGTTCACTCCCCCACACGCCTCCTGGCTGGAGCCAAGAGCCAGCAGCTTCTTCCAGGTCTCCCGCAAAGGTGCAGGGGCCTAAGCACTTGGGCCATTCTCTACTGCTTCCCCAGGCCATAGCAGAGAGCTGGATCGGAAGTGGAGCAGCCGAGACTCAAACCGGTGCTCCTATGGGATGCCTGCACGGTAGATGGTGGCTGAACCCATTGTGCCGCAGCGCCGGTCCCTGGCTGATTCCCTTTACATGTGGGGACGCTGAGGCTGTAGAAGAGGGAAGACTGCTGAGCACCCAGGCTGCCAGTCTCAGCCACACGCCTAAGCCAGGGCCGCCGGGCTCCACACGGACCTCCTGCGCTAGGGGGTCCCCACTACGCCCCTGCCAGGGGGCCTTCTCTCCACTCCTCCCTACAGGACTGGCTCTGGGCATTCCCTGCCTCCCCAACCCTGCCCTTTGCCCTTTGTCTCCCACATGCCCACCTCCTAGTCTGCCTCCACTCTGCGCCTGCTGCCACTGAGCTCCCTCGGGCATCTGCCCAGCCACCTGTCCAGGTGGGGGCGCCATGTCTCCTGCACTCCCATGTTCCCTAGGCCAGGGACCCAGGGGTCACCTTGGAGTCTAACTCCTCCTGGTCACCCCTCAGCATCTCTCAAGGCCATCCCTGGTGTCACTGTCCTCACGTGGGCCACTGTCCCCTGCCAGCCTCATTTCACGCACACGCTCAAATCCACCTTCACGCTGCTGACAGAATGATCTTTCCACAGCGCGGATCTGACCCCTGTTTGAAACTCATAATCAAACACAAAACACCTGGATCACAAGATGCCCAAGCCCTTGGCAAGAGACATGAAGCCCAGCCCTGCCCTGTCTGGCCACTGCCTGCCTCTCTCGCTGGCTTCTCTCATTGCTGCTTTCAGTTCCGGCCAAACCCCGGCTCCTCCCAGGCTCAGAGTCTTAGCCTGTGCTGTTCCTTTGCCTGGAGCTCCTCCCCCCGCTCTCTGCTGGCCCGAGACCCCTCCTCCCGTGGAGCCTGGGTGCAGTGTGGGTTCCCCATAAGGGCTCCCTAGGACCCCTCCCCGTCAGTTAGGACCCTCCCCAGTTTCTCTGTCATTCGGAACTCGCCCTGTCCTCCTTAACACCACCTGCCGCCATGGCAGAGCTGGTGTTTCCGTGTGCTAGGTTCTTTCAGCCCTGTCTCTCCTCCATGCAAATAGACCGCAGGCTCTCACTTGCAGCCGCACCCCGGCCCAGGCCGGACAGAAAGGCAGACCGTGGATAACTATTTGTAGAACAAATGAGCCTTTCATCTCGGCTTCATCAGAGCCCCGTTCCCAGACAGCTTTCATCTCCGGCCTTTGCATGAGGTCCTCCCTCTGCCTCGAAGCTTCTTTCCTTCCTCGCCCACCTGGGCCAATCCCCACAGCGTTTAAGACGGATCTCCCTGGGACCCACTGCAGGCAGGGCGTCTCCTCCGGCCCCCAGAGGCATGGAGCGCCAGTCGGCACCTGCAGCGCAGCTGGCTACCACGAGAGACTTAGCGATCCTGATCGGCGGCCCTGCCTCGGCCCCAACCTCTCCGCTCCAGCCGGCTCAAGGGTAACCTGTGTCTGCCTTTCAAGCCATCGGGGGACCCCATTTGCCATTCATTCGCCCAGCACTGAGCGGGCGCCCACTGTGCTGTTTTCTCTGTGGCAACACCAGGAGGCAGGGACCAGCAGAGCCATACAGAGAGGCTGCTTCCACGGGCGAGGCAGGAGCAGGGGAAATCAGCCGAGGTGCCAAGCAGGTGCCTGACAGTCCCATCCAGGGTGCCAGGAGGCGCAGAGGAGGCGGGGGCCGCGGGCTGGCACCTGCGCCTTCGGTCCTTCCCCGTCCTTGGGCATCCACTGCGTGAGGAGTGGGGAGGAGGCAGCGCAGTGCTCCTGAGTGGCCGGCGCAGCTGCCATGGCGCTGGGTGCACTGCGTGCTGTGCCTGTGGCCTGTCTGCCCCGCCCCCGCCCCCCAGGGAGCAGCTGGAGGGACCAGGACTGGGTGCGGTTGCTGGAAAAATCTCAGCCAAACCCAGGGGTCCCGTCAGTGTCTCCCGCCTGCCAGGTCTCTGTGGTGTTTGCTGCTCACGCCCTCCCCACCAACACTGCCCACATCTGAGTTTCCCAGGCTGCCCCACCTGCCCCTGGCTGCCTGTTCCCCTTGGGGGTCCTTTGGGGGCTCCCCTTTCCTGCGCACTCTTGAAATGCTAGGGGCCCTGGCCTCCTGCATCCATGCCTGCTGCTCCTCTCGGACCCTCCCACCTCCAGACCTCAGGCTGGGTCTTCTCCCTGGAGTGCCCATGGCTGACCCCTGCCCTCTCCCCCAGCCCATCCTCCTGCCCCACCTGTGGTGCCCACCTCACCGGTCACCTCGCAAAGACACCTTCAGTCTCCTGGGTCTCCTTGCCCTGCCGGGCGTGGGAACCTTTGCTCAGTCCAGGGCCATTTGGCTATTTATAGCATCATTCCCGGGCCATACAGAATTATCAACTGAAACACTCGCCTGCTACTGATGTGTTGAGTTTTGAGTCCCACCTGTGGTTGCCTTGGCAGGGCCCGCCCTGGTGGCTTCAGTACGCAAGGTCCTGGGTGTCCCCCACCCTGCCCTAGGCCACTGCATCTATCTCCTGTTTCCTTTCTTTTCCCTCCCTCTGATGTCTAACCCTCACCCTACCAGTGAATGCTCTAAAAGCTTTCTAAAATGCAAATCTGATGATAACCACCGGCCCCCTTAAAATTCAAAGGTGTCTCGGCCAGCGCCATGGCTCACTAGGCTAATCCTCCGCCTGCGGCGCTGGCACACAGGGTTCTAGTCCCATTCGGGGCGCCGGATTCTGTCCCGGTTGCTCCTCTTCCAGGCCAGCTCTCTGCTGTGGCCCGGGAGTGCAGTGGAGGATGGCCCAGGTGCTTGGGCCCTGCACCCCATGGGAGACCAGGAGAAGCACCTGGCTCCTGGCTTCGGGTCAGCGCGGCATGCCGGTTGCAGCGGCCATTGGAGGTTGAACCAACGGAAAAAGGAAGACCTTTCTCTCTGTCTCTTTCTCTCACTGTCCACTCTGCCTGTCCAAAAAAAAAAAAAAAATCAAAGGTGTCTCATTAAACAGCAGCCCCAAACCCTTGACCCTGTCTCAGCTGACCCCCTCCCCACTCTTGGCTCCAGCAACAGCAAACTGCTCTCAGTTCTCAGCCCCCATCCCTGGCTCATCCTGTGCCCCCTGCCAGCCGTAGTCCTTGCCTGGCTGAGCCCTCACGGCTCTGGTGCCACCTCCTCCAGGAAGCCATCTCCGACCCCCTCTCCCTGGCCCCACCTTCCACGGAGCATCCATGACGCCTTGTACGAGGACCTCAAGCACCTGCTACTCCACATACTGCGGATTACAATGATCGATTTCATGTCTCTGCTCCACACCAGCCGGTGAGATCCTGGAGGGCAGGTTCAGTGTCCCATTCATCTCTGCATCCCAGCCCCTGGCCTGGCGCCTGGCATGGAGGACAGGCTCAGCCAGCGTTTGATGGATGAATGCGGAGCTGAGACTTGAAGGAAGTGAGAGCCAGGAATGGCCAAGAGGGGCGTGAGGGCAAGTCTGGCAGGAGGAGCAGCCAGAGCAAATGTGTGGGAAGTGGCAAAGCGAGAACTCCTACGACTGCCTGCCAGCCATTGTGCCTGCGCTTCGTTTGCACATCTTGTCTCCACTCTGTTCTTGCAACAACAGATCAGGAAACTGGCATCCGAGAACCTCAGTCACCTGCCCAAGGTCACACAGCAGGTCCAGGTGTGGAATGGAATCGGGGGCTGTCTGGCCTGAACACTGAGCTATCTGCCGGGCCACACCGCCCTCCTGGGGACAGGACCTTCTGGAATGGACAGGAGTGGGCCCCGCTCTGCCTCTGCCTGGCTGAGTGCCGGCCCAGCTGCCCACGCTCAGGCTCCTTCCTCCCAGCCGGACCAGAGGCTCAGAGGCCACACAAGGATTTACCTGTTCCTTCCTCCCCTGGCTTGGGGGGGGGGATGTCTGGGGCTGGACCACCCCCCCGCCAACACCAGGGAATTGCTGCTGCACCCTGGTGTGGCCCCGGGGGCCTGGGAACGCAGGGGGCTCTGCGGTGCTGTCTGGGTTCTGCAGATTCTGTCTCCCTCATCGCACTTGGCCCAGGCTGATATTAAGATTCATCTGCATTCCCAGCGCACCCGCCTGGCAGATGGTGGGGGAGGAGGCTGGGTGTGTGCTGGGGGCTGCAGCCAGGGACCAAGCTGGGCCTTGGAGGGCCACAGGGCAGAGTGCCCACTGGGCCCCGAGGGTCCCACCCAGGCTGAAACCAAGCCAGATGCTGGGGTACCTGCTCGTCTCACAGTCTCCAAGGGTGCTGGGACTTGACTTTTTCTTCTAAGGACTAAAGAGACCCTGGAATTCCAGGAAGGAGACCTGGAGGAGTGGGGAGGAGGAGGAGGCACCCCCACCCCACCTCTGAAGACCCCAGGTCAGAGGCTTGTTCTTCCTCCTTGGCTTGGTGGTCTGCAGAGCCCAGAGATATCCAGGAACTCACGGGGACACAGGCCCCCTTCAGCCGGGTGATGTCCATGTCACATGAGGGATGGAGGGACAGCCGGCCCAGGAGCCCTTGTCCGCCCCCACCCCCGCCCGCCCCTGCCCAGCTTCTCCA